GAGCGGGCACTGCCACCGCTTCCAGACCCTTGAACAGGCACAAACTCACAGGCTCCTTCTGACTGCAGCTGGGAGCATCAGTTACCCTTCCAGATTAAGAGCAGAGGGTGTCGAGTCCAAATTTGCAGGAATAATCGGTGATTTGGGGGTGCTTTATTTCCTACCCACCTTAACATAGCCCAGCTCTCAGTACTCTGAGACCCATCTCCAGAGCAGCCCCCTTCGCATTTCCCACATCACTCCCCTAAGATCAGGCATGAAGGTTAGATGGAGCCGGGACCAAAGCCGGTGCTCAGCTCTGTCTCCTCTCCCCCCCGCAGAGTTCTCCATCAGCAGCTTCTGCACCGTGGTGGATGTCATGAACTACTCCAGGCTCCAGGTCCTGCGGCTCGACGGGAACGAGATCAAGCGAAACGCGGTGCCCCCCGACGCCCCGCTGTGCCTGCGGCGTGCCACCATCATCGAGATCTAGCCTGGCCCCCCCCGGCCCCCTCCCCGTCCTCAGGACTTGGCTCCCCCGTTCCTGGGGAGACACTCACTCCCATTTTAATGCAGCTTGACAGTTTGACTTGGCTTCCGCAATAGTGCGATAAGGGTACTCCCACACCAGCCCACGCGGGTGGGCAGGAGCCGGTCTTCCCCAAACGCAGCCGTTCCTCCCCAAACGCTGCCTCTTCCCGGCTCCCCGGCCACGTGGGGTGGGACAGGTCCAGGCACCGTTGCCCCTCTGACCCCACTCAACCGCCCCCCAAAGCACTCACCTTCTCCCCTGGTTCGGGTGGGATGCAGCGGGGACGGGGGAGAGCTCATCCCACCTCCGGAACAGGGCACTGCGTGGGGAGGGGTTCAGGCGTGGGTCCTGCAGAACCAGCAGATCTTAAACGACTCACCCTGGGCCAGGTGCCAGCGGTCGCTGGGAGAAGCATCCGGAGGTTGGGAGCTGCATGAGTAAAGGGTTAACGATACCCTGGCTGCCAGCATCCCTCAGGCTAGGATGGGGAAGAGCAAATCCGCTCTTTCCCCTCCGTTTTTCCCCCTTCCATCAGCCTCCTGCTCCAGAAATAAAGGAGAGAAACCTTTCCTGCTGCTGCCGAGCGGCTGTCAGCTGCTAGGGTTCACGAGAAACACCCTGAAAACGGCCTGTTCGCGGGCTGTGGATGAGGGGAGGGTCTCACATCTTCCTCCCAGACCACTGGTTCAGGGCAGGACCGAGGGCGAGGGAAGGGGCAATTCCCAGTGCCATCACCCCGGCTCCCTGGGGAGCCCCAGCACGCCCAGCTCCATCCCACCCACCGGCTTGGCTCCAAGCTCCCTCCCTGCCCAGGTCCCCCAATTAAAAAAAAAAAAACCACCAACAAAAAAATCACAGTGACATGTGCATCTGCAGCAAGTCTGAATTCACCAAAAGCCAAAACCACCCAACTTGGTTCCTTGGACAATTTAGTTTGAGAACCAAAGGGGCAGCTGAGCTTTGGAGATGACCTGCAAAGCTGAAGAGGTCATCCAGACCCTCCGCATTTAAACTGCATGCTAGCACTATAGAAACAAAAACCCAAAAAACCCTGTACTATCACTGACGCATGAACTGTAGATATCATACCGACGAATAAAGCCCTTTCTGTAACTGCACGAGACGTGTCTGAGGAATCCCAAGCGCAGAGAGCAAATCCGGAGCATCCGGGCTGCTCTGAGCTGCTCTGAGCACCGTAACCTCCCCTCTTGCACACCAGATCTTTCTGCAGACATAATCCGGGCTGGATTTGCCGTCTAGTGGTTGTACCAGACACGACACGTGCGTACGCCGCCTTCCCCGCACCGCGGAGCTGCTGCTCCAGCATAGCCCAGATGGGGTCCATGCAAGGACGTTTGTAGAAGGAAAAAACAGACATGGAAAAGTGTCAGTTGAGAGAGGGAACACTGTGCCACTGGCACAGTACTTCTGGTCGTTATTTTCTGGATGTTTTCATGTTCTCCAGTCTTCAGCCCTGCTTATTTTTAACAGCCTAAGCTAGAGGATGCTTTAAAAATATTTCACACGGGCAGGATTTTTACAGATCTGGAGTTGCACAGAAAGTGCCGTTCCCAGCCTGCGAGCCTCTCCTCTGCACACTGGGGACCCGCTCGGCTCTGGGTTGGTGCCAGCCGGGGAGGCAGAGCCTGCGGGCGCTCCGTGGGGTGCAGGAGGTGGGTTTCCCTGCTGTCCTTCCCCAAACAGCCCTGGGCCCCGGCCAGGGGCAGCCCCCCAACTCCAGCTGAAGCTCTTGCAGGAGCCAGGCTGGAGGAGAGGCAAGATGACCCCGCTCCGTCCCCTTCCCCATCCTCTCCCACATCCCAGGGCGACGCAGGGACATGGACACCCCCGGTGTCACACCCATGCACACATCCCAGAGCCAAACCCCATTCCCTACAGAGATCCAAATCCCCCCGGAGGCACCAGCACCGAGGACCCCGGCCGAAGCTCTTGCAGGAGCCAGGCTGGAGGAGAGGCAAGATGACCCCGCTCCGTCCCCTTCCCCATCCTCTCCCACATCCCAGGGCGACGCAGGGACATGGACACCCCCGGTGTCACACCCATGCACACATCCCAGAGCCAAACCCCATTCCCTACAGAGATCCAAATCCCCCCGGAGGCACCAGCACCGAGGACCCCGGCCGGACCCGGGGCACACCGCTGCAAGCCCGGCTGGCCGAGTCCCCCAGGGCGGTCACTAGATGTCGGCGTTGCCTGACACATCTGGTCCTGTCCAGGCCAGGAGGGTGGCCCTGGCTTTCCCTCCCCAAGGCCGTGTCCCCAGAGAGCAGCACCCAGGTTTGGGAGCTGCCCTGCACCCAGGGGTGCCCACCACAGTCAGTATTGCTTGGGCAAGGCTGGGCTGAGACATGGGGTGAAACCCAGCTTCCCTCCAGGAAAAAAGGGCTCAGAGGGAGGCAAACCTGACCCCGCTTCTGAGACTGCACGAGGCGAGCGATGCTCGTGCCGGGCTCCCCCCAAGGCCAGCAGCGGGGCAGCGTGGGGC